CTAAGTATTAAATGCATGCAAAAAATAGTATATATACTACATACTGTAACAATAGTATAGTAGTATGCTATTCTGAACAAAGCTGAATTAAGTTTGAGAATTTTGCCATTGCTGCTTGATATATTATGAATAATTTTGCAGATATTCAGACCTTTTCCACTGACAAACATAAATCTAGAATTAAAACATGTAGCCTCGAACTTAAAGTTCACTCCTGATTGTGTAATTTTAGGAATAAATAACATTTTGAAACTATTTTCTTCTCTTTTAGAAGGAAAAACAAACCAAAGACCAACAGATCCTCCATCTATATACCCCGAGGGAAACCTGTCCTCCCAGGTAACGCCGGCTTCCCAAAATCCAGAGCAGACAATGAGTCCCACGTCTATGCCTCTATCGACGACCCTACCATGTACGGACATCTTCTGGACAAGAACCAACCTGCAGAGGTTGACAGTGGAGCCTGGAGCAATGGACATCAGGTGGATGCGTACCGTCCGTTCACAGGCCCCATGGACTCCATCCCAGCAGCTACGGATTTGTCCGCTGAATATTCGCTGGACACAAGAGAAGGAGATGCATTTCAGCCTTTCCTAAACCCAACCACCACCTTTAACCTCCTGAGGCCTCGCTCGCCGCTCATATCGCAGGGAAGCTTAGGATTCGAAGATCGTAGGATGATGGCTAATGCGCTGAACACTTTCAAGAGTGGCGGGGATATAAATCCCATTCGTCTGTCTGCTGATGAATCCAGACTACAACCTCAAATGGATTCGGACTCTGATTCTTATCCTGAGCCAGAATATGAGGAAGCCATGTGAGGATGCGGATATAATTAAATGGCTGATCGCTAAAAACTGTCAGATTTTATTGGGAGAGCAGAAAAGCCATTGGCTGCAAGCCTGCGCATGTGTGCACAATGTTTTTTTTGTAAAGCTTTGAACTAATGCAAAAAGGACACGCTCTCTCTCGCCGCTCTAGTGGTCATGTGTGTATCTTGCATGTATATTTTATTAAAAATGGGGTTTTAAATATTTTTTTATGGGCTTTTAGCCTGAATGTACAGAAATAACGCTCTTGTTGGAGCCGTTTGAGAGCCGAATCCCTTGGTGGAAGTGTTCCGTGACTTTCTCTATTGGATATTTTTTTTGTTTTAACAGTGATTATCTCCAGGCTACAGGTTTCATATGTGTTTGTTATTCAATTCTGTACGTTTACTTCATGCATTCTTAAAATAAATTCTCAGGTATTTTAATAGATGTTCCTCACTGTTCAGAATATATTAGGAATGAAGACAATCACACAGGTCAGAATCAGATGCAGAGTTTTCACATTTTCTGCAATGGCTTAGAAGAAAATTCAGCAGAACTCTGTGGAATAGATGTTAAGATGCATGGTATTTTACATGGCAAAATTAGGGATGCAGCAATATAGAAATTCTTAGCATTATTTTGATGTCATGCCCGATAATAAAATCAGTTGTTTTAAAGGCTAGATTTAAATTTAAATTAAATATTTAATGTTGACTCTCACTTTATATATTAATAAAATTCTGTTTGATCCTAATAAATTATTTTCATGTCATGCTCAATAACCAATAAATGTTGATATCAATGATTTATTGATACTCAATAAATCAAAAAATAAAAAACTACAAATCAGTCATTAAAGTCTAAAACTAAAGCTACGCATCACAGCATTAGAATGTACTGTTTGAAAAATGGATATTAATTTTGATATTACAACCGTTTATGCCCTTAAGTGAGTGATAGATGATAGCAGAGGCAATCTAAATGTAAAAATAGGCAGAAATGAGAGTGACTGATAACGATGAACCTTTCATATCAGCCGATAACTGATATTGTGCATCCTTAGGTACAACCCCAATTCCAGAAAAGTTGTATGAAATGCCATAAATCAAGATTATGTTATTTGTTAATTCTCTTTAACCTTTATTTAATTGACTAAAGTACAAAGAAAAAAAATCCAATGGTTTCACTGGCCAACTAAATTTTTTGTAAATATAAACAAATTTTAATTTTAATGGCTGCATCACACTCCAAAAAAAGTTGGGACAGAGGCATGTTTACCACTGTCACATCACCTTTCCTTTTAATTTTAACACCTTTCCCTGTTTAATTGTTTGGGAATTGAGGATACTAATTGTTACAGTTTTGCCAGCAATATTTTTGTCCAATCTTGCATGATACAAGACTTCAGATGCTCAGCAGTCTGTGATCGTCGTTGTCTGATTCTCCTTTTCATGACTGGTCATACATGTTCAATAGGATATTTACAAAATACATTTAAGTTGGTCAGTGAAAACTTTGGAAATCTTTTCCAAATTAAATAAAAGTTTAAGAGAATTAACAAATCACAAAACGTCCCAACTTCTCTGGAATTGGGGTTGTAAAATGTTATAAATGGAGCTGGCAATTCAAAACTCAATGGCAGGTGAAAGTATAATCAAATTAGTCAAAATATAATAAATGAATATGTAATGAGCATTTTAATTCTGCAGAAATCTGCTGAATACAAGCATATTTTTGATAAACACTTTATTGAGATAAAAATATATGTTCAGGTTATATCAGGCAAGACATTTAGTTTGTTAGAAAATAAACAAGTTACTAAACTAGCAATCTGAGATAATCATCGTTCAATTGGAATCATCGTTTATCAGGTGGCTGGAATTCTTTGTAAAAAAGAAAAATCATTAAGATTCAATAATCTTAAAGGAATCGTTCACCTAAAAATGAAAAACTGCTTCAAAAGAAATTAAATGAAAAAGATATAGATGAGTTTGTTTCTTCATCAGAACAGATTTGGAGTAATTTTGAATTGTTTGGGAATTGAGGATACTAATTGTTACAGTTTTGCCAGCAATATTTTTGTCCAATCTTGCATGATACAAGACTTCAGATGCTCAGCAGTCTGTGATCGTCGTTGTCTGATTCTCCTTTTCATGACTGGTCATACATGTTCAATAGGATATTTACAAAATACATTTAAGTTGGTCAGTGAAAACTTTGGAAATCTTTTCCAAATTAAATAAAAGTTTAAGAGAATTAACAAATCACAAAACGTCCCAACTTCTCTGGAATTGGGGTTGTAAAATGTTATAAATGGAGCTGGCAATTCAAAACTCAATGGCAGGTGAAAGTATAATCAAATTAGTCAAAATATAATAAATGAATATGTAATGAGCATTTTAATTCTGCAGAAATCTGCTGAATACAAGCATATTTTTGATAAACACTTTATTGAGATAAAAATATATGTTCAGGTTATATCAGGCAAGACATTTAGTTTGTTAGAAAATAAACAAGTTACTAAACTAGCAATCTGAGATAATCATCGTTCAATTGGAATCATCGTTTATCAGGTGGCTGGAATTCTTTGTAAAAAAGAAAAATCATTAAGATTCAATAATCTTAAAGGAATCGTTCACCTAAAAATGAAAAACTGCTTCAAAAGAAATTAAATGAAAAAGATATAGATGAGTTTGTTTCTTCATCAGAACAGATTTGGAGTAATTTAGCATCACATCACTTGCTCACCAGTGGATCCTCTGCGGTGAATGGGTACCGTCAGAATGAGTCCAAACAGCTGATAAAAACATAACGGTAATCCAGAAGTAATCCACATGACTCCAGTCCATCAATAACTGTCTTGTGAAGTAAAACATTTTTTTGCATATTTGTAAGAAATAAATACATCAATAAATTGATTTAATTGCAAACCATTGCTTCCGGTGAGAAAATGAGTGCTCTATCCGTAATATTGCATTCCTCAGTGAAAAAGTCTTCTTGTCTGAATCAGGAGAGAAATATGTAAAGATCAAGCAGCATTTAGCGAAACCAAGCAATCTGAGATAATCATCGTTCAATTGGAATCATCGTTTATCAGGTGGCTGGAATTCTTTGTAAAACAGAAAAATCATTAAGATTCAATAATCTTAAAAAGGGGTCATATGATGCTGCTAAAAAGAACATTATTTTGTGTTTTTGGTGTAATTAAATGTGTTTATGCGGTTTAAAGTAAAAAAAAAACATTATTTTCCACATACTGTACATTATTGTTTCTTTTTGTAATTTTTATTATTATTTTTAATATGTCTATATAGCTCTTATTAATTTTGTTTCCGTTTTAGTTTGTTATTTTAGTACTCGTTAAACTAAATTATGCTTTAGCATCAAATTGCTGAAATAAAATCATAATTTTTAAATATTTTATTTTATTTAAAATAATGAAAATGTTTTTTTTTAATTGTTTTAGTTTTAATTTTTGTTAAATTTAAACTGCCCTGATATATGAGGCCCATATGCACAAATCAGCCAATCACAACAGAGGCCATTTACATATATTTTACAATAGCAAAATAGCTTGTTTGATTGTAAGAAAGTCAGAAAGTAGGTTGAAAATGATCATCAAAAAATTAATTATGATTGTTTTTGGTGCAAGAAACCTTGATTAACATTATAAGTGTATTTAAGGGAAAATTATATATAAAATAATAAAAAATATATTAGATACGTGAAAAGCGCTGTACAAATAAACTTGAATTGAATTGAATTGAACTTAGAGTGATGTTTGGCCTGTGTTTGATTAGTCTACTTTTAGAATATTGAAGTCGTATAGTCTTATGAAATATTACACATATTGTCTTAAGATTTCCTCATACATCAAACACTGGACAACATCTGACTCAATGTTCTCCAGCGAAAACACAAGCTGTAAAAAGCATCAAAAGCGACATGTGAAGGCCATGTGTCTTACGTAAGGGAGAAACTCTAATCCAAACAATACGCCACAGTCTGCAGAACAACGTTTTTTTTTTTTTCTGAGCTCAAGGGCCAGACAGAATCCCAACTTCTTTTTTTTGGAGTCAAATAAACTAGGATAGATATTGTCTAGATGCTTCACTAATGTCTTTATCAGAGCATGTCTTTATGCAGGTGGATTTAAGGCGTAATGGGGAAACTCAGTGAAGTTCTCACCAGTCTGCAGGGCCTGCTGCTCCTTTAGAAGATTCAGTTCCACCACAATGTCATTGATCTGCTGTTGTAGGTCCTCCAAAGCAGCGCTGACTTGAGTATCTGAGTCTTAGAGAATAGATCTTAGGATGAAGTAAATCAAACATGTTTTCAGACCATTAAGATGTAATTTATACTGATTAAAATATTACTGTAATGAGAGAATCACTATTGAGAACACTGTTTACTGAGAATGGGATTGACAAAAAATAAAAATAATAATAATAAAATGTAAAATGTATGGATGCATTACAAAAGTTTGTTTTCTTAATGCAATATATCTGTAAAAACGGGGCACAATGTACTGTATTAATATTAAGGAATTTTCCATATTTATTATTATTATTTACAGGTGTTTTACCTGTATTTTCAACTGAGCACTTCATTGGCTTGTGTTTTAGGGTTAACAGAAACATTACCAAATAATAATAATAATAATAAGTCCAGGCAGATTTTTTTTTACTGTGTATACATTCAGTATTGATTATTATATAACGTGCAACTTGAGAATCAATTGTATTAAACTGATTGAAATTGAAAATTAGCTATTTTAAGATAAATTTAAAAAAACACAAATATATTAAACATATCACTGCTTACTGAGTAGGAAACTTCAAACTGAGTCCACTTTTCTTCAAACATCAACAATGATGCTCTGCAACTGAACTTTCTCAACTTCTAGAATTCACACAAAGCTGCTTTCAACTTGAATAAATGATGGAACTCAAGACAAAAATTAGCAAAAATCATCCTGCCTCACCTTTTTTAGCGTTGGGCTTCTTTTTGGGAGTGTTCTGCTGATGTGAGGTGTGTGTGAGGAGCAGCAGGACTCCCAGCAGAAGACAGCCGTCTCTGAGTCTCATGGTGAAGTCTGGAGAATGAGGAGAGATCTCTGCTTCTCAGCTCCGCTCACAGAGGAAAACTGCTGTAATAAGAACCTGCTGCGTTTGTTCTTCATCCTGAGCAGAGCGGAGGAGTGACGTCCTCATACACCACACACACACACACACACACACACACACACACACACACATTTAAATATCATATTATTGTAATTAAGCTTTAAAAATGTGAACACAATGAAACCACAATAACATACATTGAAACAAGAATATCTGACTTTCTTCTGTGTAACATAAAAAGATAAATTTAAAAATACTGGTAACCAAACAGTTTTGGATCCCACTGACTTTCATTGTATTGTTTGTCCATAAAATGGAAGTCAATGGGAACCAAAGCTTTGGTTACCAACATTCTTCAAAATATCTTCTATGTTCATTTTTGGGTGGACTATCCCTTTAAAAAGCTCCTATGATTTATATTGCAGATTATAAACTTGGATGCACATTTAGAATTAATTTACTAACTCAGACAGGAAAGTAGGTTCACAAATTGCTCAGTACACATTGAGAGTCCTGGAAAATGTAGGGTCTCCTCAGGACACATTTCCCATCATGCATTCTTCTCGTGTATGATATTGTTATCTGTGCAGTGATAGCTGCTGTTTGTTTTGGATTCACCGTGTCACAGGAAGAAGCAAAGCTATTATGGGATGGAATATATCCATATGGCTCACAGCAGCTGGATCTTCCTCAGACGACACGTGGCAGACGAGACGTCCTGCTGGACAGCGGTGTGAGCACAACACCATCCCAGGAAAAAATGACAACTAGAGCACCTGTGAACTTACACAAGTCTATGAATATTCAAAAAATGTATTCCACATATCGTTTTACCTAATATGTGCAATTAAATCAAATATCCTTATAGGACAAAAGAAACATAAAAATTACCAACACGCAACAACTTTTAAAGGAATAGTTCACCCAAAGTTTTGGATTCACCGTGTCACAGGAAGAAGCAAAGCTATTATGGGATGGAATATATCCATATGGCTCACAGCAGCTGGATCTTCCTCAGACGACACGTGGCAGACGAGACGTCCTGCTGGACAGCGGTGTGAGCACAACACCATCCCAGGAAAAAATGACAACTACAGCACCTGTGAACTTACACAAGTCTATGAATATTCAAAAAATGTATTCCACATATCGTTTTACCTAATATGTGCAATTAAATCAAATATCCTTATAGGACAAAAGAAACAAAAATCACCAACACGCAACAACTTTTAAAGGAATAGTTCACCCAAAAATGAAAATTTGCTGAAAATGTACTCACCCTCAGGCCATTCAAGATGTAGATGAGTTTGTTCATTGTAACAGATTTGGAGAAATTAAGCATTACATCACTTTCTCACCAATTTATCCTCTTCAGTGAATGGGTGCCGTCAGAATGAGAGTCCAAACAGCTGATAAAAACATCACACAATAATCCACAAGTATTCCACACGACTACAGTCCATCAATTAACATCTTGTGAAGCGAAAAGCTGCGTGCTTGTAAGAAATAAATCCATAAAGACATTTTTAACGCCAAACTGTTGCTAAAATGAGTCCTCTATCCATGATATAGCTTTTTACATTAAAAAAAGTCACCTTGAGAAATATGAACAGATTTTGTTTACAAGCTAAACAGTCCATGCTGGTGGATTTTGATGTGAGATGACAACAGAGAATGGGCTTTTCCCCTGGAGAAAGGAATATTATGGATTACAGACTTGTATCATAGCTGGAAGCAACAGCTTTAAAGGGGTCATATGATGTTGCTAAAAATAACATTATTTTGTGTATTTGGTGTACCAAACAAACTAGTTTCGCTTTCACAACGAAACGCACAGCGTCACACACAGCAGGCTAGAGTGAGCGGAGGCCGGTGGGCCTGAGTGAGCGGCGGCGGGCTAGAGTGAGGGACGGCCGGTGGGCTAGAGAACGACTCGGCCGGCGGATTCGACGAAGGAGTGGCGGCGGGCGCTTTGGATTTGAGACTTTAGTCTTTGCAACTTTAGGGATCTTATCTATGCATGAACAGCTTGTAACACTCCAAAGAGAAAGGAAAATTTGAAATTGCATCATATGACCCCTTTAAGTTCAAACATCTTAAAGATGGATTTATTACAAACATACAGCTTTTCGCTTCAAAATGCATTAATTGATGGACTGGAGTGGTGGAGATGTGTACTTGTTGATTATTGTGATGTTTTTATCAGCTGTTTGGACTCCCATTCTGACGGCACCCATTCACTGCAGAGGATCCACTGATGAGCAAGAGATGTTATGTTAAATTTCTCCAAATCTGTTTTGATGAAGAAACAAACTCATCTACATCTTGGATGGCCTGACGGTGAGTAAATATTAAGCAAAATTTGTAAATATATATTTTTATGTTATTAAAAATTTTTTTTGTAAAGTATTCTTTTATGGATTCTGAGTATTCTGTTCTACTCATTTATAAAATGTAGGTATATATAAAAAAAAACATTAAAAAAATTCTCTCAAACAGCTCAAAATGTTTACAGAAAAACATCTGAATTGAGAGAAGAATCATTTAACATTCAGTCATCTGTTAAACACACCAGTTTGAAAGCTAGTCTGAGTTCAGTCATTCTCTTTTGGAAGGCCAAACAAAGTAGTTTCGCTTTTACAACGAAACACAGCGTCTCCACGTCATGGCGGCGGCAACAATACTGGAAAGGAAAAATTGAAATTGCATCATATGACCCCTTTAAGTTCAAACATCTTAAAGATGGATTTATTTATTACAAACATAGAGCTTTTCGCTTCAAAATGCGTTAATTGATGGACTGGAGTGGTGTAGATGTGTACTTGTCGATTATTGTGATGTTTTTATCAGCTGTTTGGACTCTCATTCTGACGGCACCCATTCACTGCAGAGGATCCACTGATGAGCAAGAGATGTTATGTTAATTTCTCCAAATCTGTTTTGATGAAGAAACAAACTCATCTACATCTTGGATGGCCTGAGGGTGAGTAAATATTAAGCAAATTTTTAAAATATATTTTTTTATGTTATTAAAAAAAAATTTGTGAAGTATTCGTTTATGGATTCTGAGTATTCTGTTCTACTCATTTATAAAATTCAGGTATAAACATTTCTCTCAAACAGCTCAAAATGTTTACAGAAAAATATCTGAATTGAGAGAAGAATCATTTAACATTCAGTCATCTGTTAAACACACCAGTTTGAAAGCTAGTCTGAGTTCAGTCATTAAAACCACAGCTGGAAAAATGAAAACAAAAACAGCAATGTTATATAACCTCACATTTGACGGGATTCTTTGTTAGTTTAAATTTTTAAGCAGGACATAACAAACATCGTAGAAAATTTAGCTCATTTATTTAAAAAAACAAAAAACAAAAACAAAAAAGGTCCAAAAAAAGGAAGCTAACCGAGGAATCCCACTTTCTGCTGTTTCTTGCCAAGACTTTCTTCTTTCTGCAGCAGCTCCATGAGAGGCACATGAAGAGCCTTTCCCACACGCTTACCAGCCTATAACATGAACACACGATAACAGTGAATATAAACTCCTAACCAGGAGTCAACCATTTATTATACAAAATATATATATATATATATATATGCTATATATGTATATGATATACTAAATATGTTTCATGGGAAAATCACTTAAGGCAAGGCAAGGCAAGGCAAGTTTATTGGTATAGCACATTTCATACACAGTGGTAATAAAGCTGAAATAAAATAAAATATTAGATGAAAAATGTAAACTTATTTTTAATTTTACACTATAACAGCATTAAAGGCTATATGCTAAAATGAAAAATAATACGATTTAAAATAGTCTCAACAGCAATACCTAAATGAATTTTATACAATCATTTAACAACATTATTTTTACAAACAAAAAAAATCAAATAAATAAATATATAAAAATAACTATTATATTCAAATTAAAAATGTATAAACATTTCTAATAATTTCCCAAGAGAAACTTCAAAAAAGCTCCTTAATGTACTTAATGAAAGCATTTACAACCTAAAAAAATTACTTAAATTCATGTGGAAGTACTAAAATGCCTAAAACAAAAATGCCTAAAAAAATAATAATAATCCGAAAGTACACAAATAAAAGCTAAATAATAATACTATAACAGTATATAAAATAATAGTATAATAACACAACCTGCCACAGTTTTAACATTTCCTTATGGAAACTTTACAGCTTTGATGGGAAAAAACACACTGTTACTTACCGTGTATTAAACAGAGCAGCTTTTATTGCGATGGATATGGCATCAAACAGGTTTCCGTCACACTGCAGAAGCTGCACACATAATTACGCATTTAAATGAATGATAAATTAACAGCATACAGATATCATAATATTTCATAGTATTTAAGGAAAATATTTAATTCAACATTCTCTTCCTGAGAAGTGAATATGAGGATGCTGTTATCACCCTCTTCTGGACGGATATGCGAGTCACTGACCAACACGTCCACATACAGCACCCAGCAGTTCTCTCCCGGGCAGATGCAGAGGGAACGCAGGTCCACGCTGTGTCTGTTGTTCTTAACTTTGATAAAGTATATCTCTTTGGTTTTGAGACTTTAGTCTTTGCAACTTCAGGGATCTTATCTATGCACAATCAGCTTGTAACACTCCAAAGAGAAAGGAAAACTTGAAATCGCATCATATGACCCCTTTAATGGTTAAACTTTTTTAGTACAAATAAATATGTTCAAAATAAAAAATGTCCAGAGATGTACTAAATATGACTCATGGGATAACTGCTTAAACAGAACTAACTTAGTTATTAAATGTTGTACAACTATAAATATATTCACTACAGAAATTTCCATAACTTTTCCAGGCCTGAAACCAATATTTGTAATTAATACTAAAACTAATAAAAATTGTTACTGTTAATTGAAGTTAAGCTGAAATAAATATAAAATATAAATATTGAATGAAAAACAAATTTAGAAATGTTGCTTTGGCAACTAACTGAAATAAAATAAGTTTCAATGAAGTACTAAAATTACTAATAAAAAAATAAACTGTAGCTAAATAGAAAGATAAAAAAAATAAAAATGACTAAATCACAACAAAATGACTAAAATCTTTTACATTAAAAAGACCACCTAAACATATAAAAGCTAATTCAAAATATTAATAAATACTACAGTAGTATGTAAATAAAAATATAGCTTGTGCACCTACACATGCATTATGTACCAAACTGAGAAATGTCTAAATTGCATGATGATTTTTAAAAGCTATTGCACAGTCATTCTGGTAGTCATTTACAGAGTGGCTGTAACGATGGATGCTTGATGTCTATTTTGCACCTATAAATATGATGATCTCTAAACACTCACCAGTCCACAAAGAACTCCAGATAACCTTCATCTGGCACCATGGCTTTGGGTTTACCAATCTCTGCCTTTACTCCTACAAGAACATCTGTGTGGCCCTGTCAAACACATCACACAACATAATGAATTACAAAACCGCTGGTGCTATTACTGCACATAAAACTGTTTACTTCCACATACAAGACTGATTTTAGCAGAACCATCAGTGTTTTGACACCACATCCGTCTCGATCTCCATGTGTCTGTAGTCTTCACATCCTCGTCCGTCCAATCTCAGGTCATCCTGTCAAAAATATTCAGAATTTAACCCTCATGCTTTGTATGGTGTCTCAGAAAAGTATCAGGTTAATGTGATAACATATAATTTATAATTT